GATGAGCGTGTGTCGCTAGCAACAATGGCGTGCATCCTGCATCATTCACGCCCAGTCGGAACGCCGACGACTCGAAAATGACGAGAGAGACGCACTTTGCGGGAGGGAAGGGGAAAATAGTTGAACGATGCCCGAACACCTCGCGACAACGCAACTCAACAGAAAAAAAAGGGGCGGTGGGGCATTCCAACACCTCGAACCGGTCCCTCTACTATGATCACTCACTCGCACGCGCGGCATCTGCGCATCTCTGAGGGTCGGGCAGAAGGAGGGGGAGGGGGAATTGTGAGACATGTTATCAAGCTGGGCAGGGTTGGGATGAGCAGCATTGGAAATGCTGGCAGCAAAAAGCAGGAACGACAACAACAAAAAAAAACAAACACTCAAAACACTCGCCACACCAAAAATAAAAAGCAAAGTTGGACTGGCGCGAGCCGACATGATGGGACAGCCAGTGATGAAGAGCGATGAAGTGTGGCGTGTGAGAGCCATCCAAATCGAACCAGGAGACGAAGGGGGAAACCTTTAAAATGAAGAGAACAGAGAAACATGTCAATGCTGCTCTCTGAAGTCGAGCATTCACTCGCGCCTTCGGACGCCTTGCGAACATAGGACACTGGCCTCGATTTTTTTTTTGGGTTTTTTGAGTTTTTGGTCATTTAAGCCTTTCAGTTGCTCCTCTGCTCTCTGTATGTCTATCCTCCGCCGATTTCATCATCACATGCTAGTATACCATATATATAGAGATTTCATAGCAAAATGAGGGCACGAAAGTTCAACAGGTCGAGAGGGGGCGAGCTTGTTGCTCGTTGCTGCGACAATCGCCAGTCGCGCACGCCACCGCATCGTCCTGTTACCTTATTCGACCCCCGTTATGTTGGAAAATTACTTGTATGATTCGTATGAGTGTTCATGAGGAAGATGGGAGCGATCTACGGACATCATCATCACGAAATCAGCTTGTTCGGAACAATAAAAAGCCCATCGGTCAGGCCATCAAAAGTTCAATCAGAGCATACAATTAACCCAAACGACAATCTTGAATTGTAAACACATATATACGGATCACAAAGCTCAAGCGAAAGGGACGCACCATGCCTCAAGGGTAGCGATCGCCTCACTGACTTTTGAGAATGGTGCGCAAATTTGACCGCGGTTGGTGTCGACTTGAACACAACTCAGGCAAGTATTCATCATATATCTAACTTGAAACTATACTTTGAATCAATTTGTAGTGGGTTTATTGGTGAGATAAGCTGGAAACAGGAACCATGCTGACAATTCTTACTGTTCGAATGGTGCAAGGAATCAACAATGTTCTGGGTCTCCCAGGCGGCGCCAAGCTCTACAAAGCTCAAAAAGTAGTCATAGTAGCCAAAGAGCTCATCATCAGCTGAATGGCGTTCACATTATCGTGAGGAGTGGAGCCCAATTGACCAGCTCAGCCCTGAAGGTCGATAGAGTGAGATTGCGCTGCCTCTGCAGCGGGGGTTCCGACACTAGACGATTCTAAGATGATAGTCTAAGTAGGGGATGTTGGTGGCGGAATATCTTTGAAGTCCTTTGTCACAAACGAGTGGGATGGTAGTCGTGGAGTGCCGACCTTATCCCCACTGTTTGTGTCCACAGACACGGTTGAAAGTGACTGTAACAGCAGTCCAGATGCATCTGGAGCTAAACGTGGTCCTCTGCCTATGGGATACCAATCAGCCAACCAAACTTGAGGATGGTTTCTCGTTTGCCCGTGTTTTCGAGCCAGTTGGCCAGTTCTCCGTTCAAAACCCTGTCGATCGTCTTGCAAATTTGGTCAATGGTCTGCTTGAGTGATCGGCTGTTCGGATTGAGGTCTGAATGAGCTGATCTGCGCTTTGTCGGTTGGGTTGAACTTTGCGCGGGCTTTTCCGGTTCAATGTTGGCGTCTTGGGGGCGTAGGTGCATGACGTCCAGCCGCCTGGACATCATCCTCGCATAACATGGGCACCTACACATCTGAATCAAGCGATTCAGAGGCAGGAGGAGGTGCCTGTGATGGCAGCGGGGCCATGTCAACCAAAGAAATGGCGGGAACTGGAAGAGGCGCCTGCACAGCTTGTAGACGCGTTCACTGCCTCGTCCCTGGCCCAGGACATGCTTGTGGATGCTCGACAATGACACTCGACAGGTTCTGTGGTCAAGAGAAGTGATGGGGAAGACGTGGTCGTGAGGTCGATCGACACTACCCAACTTTGACAACGTGCCACCATCTCCAGGAGGGTGTACAATCGTGCTCCGACACATAAACATACGCGTCTGGTGGTCTTGTTTCGGGTATTGAGCATTTGGGCGCGGTTTCGTTGATGCGCCTCGCCCTGGCGGGTCCAAGGTCGGGCCATGTCGACTTTGCCAAAATGTCCTCATGTCAGCCCTATCACGAAATGGGACTGGTCCGCCCATTTTTTGCCCATGAGTGCAACTAGTATTGTAGGTGTGCAGAAACTAGGTGGCGGGTCTGGAGGGTTGACAGACATCTCGATCGCCATCGTCCAACCTCCGTCGCACGCGTTCAAGTGGGTCCCCTGAGATGGCATTTCGACCCCATGCTCCCCTCTCTCGTTTCTACCAACCAACGAATATAACTACATTCATCCTGAAAATGGCGGGGAACTTGACTGAAAAACCTCGAACTTTTTGTGAGGACACGTTAAATGACAGGGGTCCCCAAAAAAAATCGAGGCCAGTGTCCTATGGCGGTGCGAGAACGAGCGACGGAATGACTCGAGGTCTTGAATTTTGGTTTTCAAGCCTCAGGTTTCGTATCGATGTACTACCTGCATGCTCCCGGGTGTGCCGTCGCCGCT